ATAAAGTAACGAACAGAGGCAAAACAGCAGAGGAACCGACAGTAACCGTATCGGAAAGTACCAACGAGATCTGAATTTTTAACGGTTCATCTGACAAAACTTCAGTGAGAAGTTATTCATTTGTTGGTACGGTCATTATCCGGAAATCCTGGAGTGATCATGTATGCTGGAATAAGTTAATTAATGTCGTGTGTGTAGTGAAATTGAACAGTGGTTCAAAATGAAAAACTATGGGAAAACGGGTGTGGAACAGTTGGAAGAAATAACCGGACACGAAAACTTGTTTACAGCATGAAGTGTTGCTTGAAGATTTGTTGTGCAGAATGCCGAATGGTGCTGAAAAAGTTCGAGAAAATAGAAATTCATTAGAGGGCTAGGGGACAAAGGTTTTGAAAAAAGTTGAAGAAACTGATAGTTCTTTGAGCAGAACGTTTGCAGGCTTTCGAGGACCATTAGCATGATTCTCCAGTCCTCCACTTTGTCTGTTGGACTCTTCAGAAGATTGTTCATAAAAATGTCGTTTTTGGCAGTGTGCAGTGGCATTTATTGGATAAGGTATTTGTAATCGACAATCTTGTTTCATCTTCCTGAGCATCAAGTAGTATTTGAATTTATATGTGAATCTTCTCTGCTTTTCTGAGAGTAGTGTCACGTGTGTCAATGAAATGGTAATATTGACAGTTGCGTTTGTTGCGAATCAACTTTTCCCTGCCTTTTGTTTGAGATGCTTACTTTGGATACTAAGAGGTGTTTTGTTGTGGCTAGCAGACTCTTCTTTTTCCGTCTTGTGCAGTCATTTTTTACTTCTTAAGGTGAACTCGACAATTGGCTTTTCCAGCGCTTTAAGGTTTTTTTACTCAAATGTGTATTAAATTTATAGCATTGCTAAATTCTGAATTGCAGAAATTTATGTCAAGGTCTATGGTTCATGGGGGAAAGATGAGGTAAAGAGTGTTTTTTCAGAAAGCTTATGTTTTTTACTTAGGTGATGAGTACGGCATTTTTTTAAAGCAGCAGTTGTTCTTATTTCTTTTTAATTTTTTTCATTTTCTTTTAATGCTCTTGTTGCTGCCACCTGCGCTTTTTTAAATCTTTGGATTTTTTTAGTGCTGTTGCTGCTGCAGAATACTAATGTTTTTTCCGAAATACCGCTGTTTGAATTCGGTCAATGGCGCTGTTCAAATTTGTTTTGCCTGAACGTGAGTTGAACTGATGGTTGCCAATCAAATATGGGGAACAGTAAGATGAAATAATTGTAGATGGGAGGAATAAACAAACTTTTGAGTTTTTTAAGTACAATATCGGGAAATGCTGAGAAAGGAGCAGTGTTAAATTGGTGGGTGGGCGTAAGAAAAGGTCAACGTTTTCTTCGCTCTGGACCTTGGTTGACGTGACTCTGACCTGTTTTGGCAGTTCAGTAGGTCCCACGAACTTTGGTAATTAAACTTGTCCGCGGGACATGTTACTAGTAGCGACAGGAATTAAGCAAACATTCTTACAATAGTTCTAGAACAGTAACAAACCCATAGCTTAAAGCAACCAGTAATAACCTGTTTGGTGGAGTTGGCCCAACAGGAGGAGCAAGACACTGACCGTCATTTATCAACACGTCACCAGAAAGTTGAATGAGAGAACAAGATTAATGTCAAAATGCTTACTGCAACTTTCAGTCTGCCTGCAGGATTGGTCTGCGTGCAGCAGCCCTGTGTCCAGAAGTAGATGCGGGAAGGGAGTGAAATAATGGAACTCTTTGATAATCTTTTGTTCCCTTCAAAAGATAAAACTTGTTCTGGGTTGTTGTAATTGGTTTTTTAAAATGTTCAGTTCCCTCTCCAATGCGGTTTTTTCAACTATTTTCTTAGTTTATTTTTTATGGTACTGTTCTGGTAGGAAACTTACTAGTTTCTAACTAGGAGTATTCAGTTCATTTTTTTTTTTTTT